CTTTGTCTCGTGTGTGGCAACTGTGTCCATTGAGTGTGAAGTCGATGTTTGATGTATGCACATCTGCGTGAGTTGGTCCCCAGGACCCATGCAATGAGTAACTATGGTTAATTATTTGGTTTTGGTGTTCCTTTAAAAAAAAATAAAAAATAAAAAATGATACAAGTTCTAACAAGAAAAAACAACGGAAAAAAAAAAAACTTTTAAAAGATGGCAAGGGCATGACAGACTACCGTCTTCACCCGAATAGAACGAACGCCCGGTCATTACAGCTGCATTTGGTGCAACTTTCAGTCTAGAATCCGACTCTAGATGCAGTGATAATGACCGGGCGCTCTATTCGGGTGAAGACGGTAGGTCACAAACAGGTCCTGCGGAGCCCATACATGGAACAGCTGCATTTGGTGCAACTTTCAGTCTAGATGCTTCAACAACAAGTAACTATGGTTAATTATGTGGTTTTGGTCTGCACTTTGTTTTGATCCTCTACAGTATGTAGGATCTGTTTGATTCTGTTTTTTTTTTTTTTTTTTTTTTTGAGTCTGGACTGGTTAGAAAATCCCGCAGCAGGTTTTATTTCCCGGGAGGAGGCAGCGGGTACAATGGTCCTCCTCCTCCTACCATGAAGCCCCAAGCCAAACTACGACCTACTTATTCATCATCATCATCATTCACCTGAAAGCTCTCCTCTCACCTGAAAGCCAATCTTCATGTATAGATTCCTTGCCGCCTTATTGGACGCATTAACGTGGACATATAGTTCTTTCAGCCCTGGCCAAGACAAAACATGAAAACGACGCAATTCAAATCTTTGTCACTCATGATTCTGGACATATACTTCGCTTAGCCACCCAAGAACTGCCACCCATCCTTTTCCCTATTCTTCCTTTTTTTTTTTTTTTTTTGCTTCCCTATCCTTCCTTACCAAGCTCTAATTGCTTTCACAAGTCATTTCCTCGTCTCTTTTTCTTCCTCGCGAAGACAAAACAAAAGCAGAGTCCCAAAGTTTGTCACACAGGATTCACTTGAAGACTTGAACACTTGAAGACTTGAACACTTGAACACTTGAACACTTGAACACTTGAAAGACTTGAACACTTGAAGACTTGAAAGTTGAAGTGGAAACTTCAACCAGAAAAAAGATAAGGGGAGGAGAGGGGAGGAGAGAAAAGGACTGCGGGCACACAGTCGAACTGCAGCATGCATTTGGTGCAACTTTCAGTCTAGATGCTAACAACAGGATCAGATGACATAAAGAGTGTATGGCTCCTCGATCAAGTAGAGCGCTTGGATAAAATATATTAGAGGAGATAGTGAAAACAGAGAGTTCTCAGACCCTCGCTATCACCCATCCTTCCCCTCTGCATTCATTCAGGCCAACCATAGACATGCCATTGCCACTACTACTAATCTGCGCATGGTAGCATCCTCGACGTGTTTGTTTCTGTCCGCCTTCGTGTGGACTCTCGAGGAGGTGGAATTCACAGAATTCCGTAGCTCGCGGCAGCCTAAGCCTAAGCCTAGCTGGCTGTACGAATACCCTGGCCTTACCCCTCGACAGTCCCTCCTTCCCCGCCATCCCTGCATCTGGAATGAAAGTTGGACCAAATGCAGCTGTAAGGACCGGGCGTTCTATTCGGGTGTAAAATGTACGAAAAACGCCGACGAACTTCAAGGAAACGTAAAAACAAAACTTACGATTTCAAGAAGTCGTCCCTGCATTCACTACCAGGTCTCCGCCACCGATCCCTACCCAACGTTCCAAGCCGATCCGTCTTAATGTGTCACGCCCCGAAAAAACTCCTAGTATAGCCTGAATCTGGGGTGGAGTCTCGTGACTATCGACCCATCCCATACTGCCAGTTTTGAACCTAAACCTGATACCCGAGTCCCTACCCCCTACCATACTCGATTTCCCTTCATTCGAATGCCCTTCTTATCCTACCCTTCTAAATCATTCTCCCTTCCGGTCTGCGCCGACCCCTCATACGGAACATCATCCTGAGCATCGGCAACAGGCGGCCCAGATTGGGGTACTCCGCCGCAGCCTTGACCAACTTGGCAAAGGCACCAAGAGAGACCTCCGGGGGTACGCTTCCCAGAGTGCACAAGAGACGGAGCCTACTCCCAGAAACTGGCAGGAGGTCGAGGACCACAGTCTCTTCAAAGTGGCGGCCAATCTTCATGAAAGTTTCCGCTTCAACTTTCAAGTCTTCAAGTCTTCCTAGCACTGATTGGGGTGTGTTTCAAAAAAAAAAAAAAAAAAAAAACCTTCAAATCTTCAAGTCTTTCAAATAAAAGCCGGTACTACCAGATGGAGCCTTCTTAGATGTCTTCTCTGAATACGATGCATAGTTCTGCATCGTCTGATATCCGAGTCTGGACTCATCCCACAAATATGTTATGTCAAATTCTTGATGTCGGCGGAAAACCCCGAATTTTGGGCCTTCCATTGACCATCTCTCCTGGCACATACAGCAATCTCAGAGGTTGCTGTATCAGATACACCGTGCCTCCCAGGAACTGCCACCAATCCTTTTCCCTACCCTTGCTTACCAAGCTCAAATTGCTATCATATGTCATTTCCAATTGTCGAAAGGTCTTGTCCTTCTCTGTTTTGCTTCCGTCCCACTGCCTCTCAACAATGACCGTATTATGATCGACCACTCTCCATCCCACTACCAATTTCCAGTCCGAACCCAGCCCCGAAAGGAAACTAAACTCAGTCATGGTGCGCGTGATGGTGGCCATCCCCGGGCTGGTGGATTTCCCTATCGGGATTCCAGAGGCCATTCCAGAGATCTGCCTCTTCGTCCCAGCTCCGCTGGTAATGTAAGCATGGTTGAGATCAGGTCAACCATTCCTTCTTTTTTTTTTTTTTTTTTTTTTTTTTTTTTTTT